TCCCCCCACCCCCAAACCCCCCCCCCCCCCCCCAACCCCAACCCCAACCCCAACCCTAACTCCAACCAAATAAAATAAAATAAAAATAAAAGATCTCATAAATTTTTACCCACCATCACACCAACTATTCAAATTTCAAGAGTTAGTTCTCTCCTCTCATTATTTTTCATTTCATTCAAACAAAACAAAACAAAAACAAAAAAGGTCAAACATGAAACTCTCTTCTCTCTTCAAGAACTCATCACAAAATTCCTCTTCTTCTACTCCTACTTCTACTTCTCCTTCTCCATGGCCATGGTCATTACCAACTTGTGGAAAACCTAAAACACTTTCATTTAGATTAGAAAAGAATCAACACAACATTTTCAACTCCACTTATCATCTTGATGATATTAATGACACAACAAGTTATAGTTTTGATGACTTTTTTAGTGAAATTGATGAAACAAGTTCTTCCTCTACTACAACTATCAATGGTCAAGATTGTATAGAGAAAGTGATTAAAGGGTTGAGATTAGAGAAAGAGAGGTTATTTTTTGAGCCAGAAGAAACAAGTTCAATTCTTGATTTTCAAGAAAACAAGAATATTAGTATTACTAGTACTAATATTAATGTTGTTGATGAAGGTAATATTATTAGTTTTATTCCAATGGGATTGGATTCAAATGATCCTTTTGTTGATTTTAGAAAATCAATGGAGGAAATGGTGGAAGCATATGAGATTAAAGGTTGGGAAAATCTTGAAGAGTTGTTGACTTGTTATTTGAAGGTCAATTGCAAAAGTAACCATGGTTATATTGTTGGTGCTTTTGTTGATTTATTAGTCAATCTTGCAACTTTTAGTGACAACAACAATAATAATATTAATGTTGGTGTTGGCGTTGGTGCTGGTGTTGGTGTTGGTGTTGATGAGTCTACGATAATAATGACAACTATTGATGAAGAACAACAATGTTTATCATCTTCAACAACAACAACAACAACAAGCCATTCTTTCACATCTCCATTGTCATTTTGTTCTTCTTCTTGTTCTACTAGTTCATCTATTACTAGTACTAGTGCTTGTTTATCTTTGTTGTTAGAAGAAGATGAGGTTATTCAAAGAAAAAAACAATGTTGAAAGCATTGTTTTATTATCTTTTGATTTTGGAACAAAGAAACTAGAAAAAAAAATGTAAAATGTATATGTATACTAGTGGGGTAGTAGTTCTATTTTATTTTTTTTGCTTCTATAAAAGTTGTTGACTCACTTTTAATGTTTTTGGTCTCTTTTTAGTAGTAGTAGTAGTAGTAATTTTTGTTATTTCTTCTTGTTGGTGTAGTTAGCAAGTGCATTAAATTAATTGTTGTGTTATATTTATATTAAATATTATTGCATAAATGTGTTTTTAAGAAAATTTATATCTGAGGTTTGGTTTCTGCTTTGGGGCCTGATTAATACGGGCGTTTGAAGTCTTATTTTAGGAGTAAAACGTTTTTTTTAAAAGATGACTCTATAAGGTTTGAATTAGATACTTTTAATTAATTAAGGATAAATGCATAGTTATCTATTTCACCATATTATATTATGGAATACAATCGAAAGAGTACTCACTAAACTCAAAACTTATGAAGTAGGAGAATAGAGCTAGCGAACGGTCGATAAACGACTTTGATCTCTAACAAGGGGTTAGAATTTGACAAATCAAGATGCAAACCTCTGAATTTAATTCACATATATCCAAAATATATTTTGTGTATACTTTACATTTTTCAAATTTCATTTTGTGAAATTACTCTGAATATAATTGAATGTCTTTTTTTTTTTTTTACCAAATTTGTAACAAAATTGTTCTATTAATGCAGAGCTGAAATTGAAATAAATGTTGGTTGAGTAAATTTAATATTTGAGGACTAAAGAGTTATCCAATGGTACAATAGACAACTGTACACTTTTTTTTATGAGCGTCACACAATTATAAATAGCCCAAATGCTATAAACACTATTCAATGACAAAGCACACACAATAACACAAATTAGGCAAAAAATATTATCGTCTATTGAATATTTATATCAAATCAATAAATATTTAATGTCTCTTTGGTATTCTAATTTGTTTAAATTATTGAATTATAAATTAATATTTTATATATATTCAATACATTTCTTAAGTCAAATGTTGAGTTTTAACCAAAGTTACTTGTTTCGCTTTTACATATTCGTGATTATTGTATTTTTACTTCAGTAAATCACTTAACCACGACAAGATGAATTATTTTGATGTAAATACTTTGTGTGGATAAGTATTTACCTTGGTATTGTAAACATGTTGTAAGCCTTCACTAGATAACCTAACTTATTTTGTTAACTCACTTTGTTTGTTTGGTTTTGATTTGATACGGAGTTCAAAAATTAAGAATATTTTTAAATCTTGTGATCTTAAACTAAAAACGTAGAATCTAGAATGTATCAAAATATACTTTAATCTTGTTATCTTAAACAAGTCAGGTGAAAAGTTAAAACTAAATAATTATCTAAAAAGAAAAATAATACAAATAAATTGAAACGTCGCACATAGGTTACTAGTCTTTCTATTTATGAACGATTATCAATAATTATATTTTAGATAATCTCATCGTGTATAAAAGTTAGATCCCATTTAGATTGACTTATTTTACGAGTTTTTAAACAGTTTTGTATTGTTTGAATAAAAATAATATAATATAATATGACCAGATTTTGCAGAAATTTGAAGTTTACAACACATACATTAACTTCTGATTAAATAATGAAAGCCCAGATTTTTTTTAAAATTGGAAAGTCATTATCTTGATAGTTACAATACTACTGGGCCTGAATTTTTTGGAGTGGTCCTTTTTTCTGCAAAAAAATTATCATAAACATAAACCTAAATTTGTGAGAAAAAAAAAATATATAAAAAAGTCACTTTTTTTATGTCCTTATATGGTGATTGGATTTGATTTCTCAAAGTTAAAAAAGTAGTAATCAATATCGTTGGCCTCTATGGTAGAATCAATCGAGGGACTTGAGAAGCGATGATTCATTTTATTACAGATGTCAGACGTTTAAATTTTTTATATTGAAAAAATTTCTTGAGGATTTTCGACCAATTTAAATGGGCACATTATATAACTTTGAAATTCTTGAGAGTATGATTCTTTCTACAAACTCATACATCACATGCATCACAATATTGTGTTGCAATATCGTGATGCGTGTTTTACCATTTTGAATGTTCGATGTAGCCACTTGTATGATAATTTTATTTTAATGATCTAAACTTAACATGCGATCGAAGAATATGATTTGGAATATTTTAAATAATAATTGAAATTGTAAAATATCCTTTTTCTATTTCAACTTTGAATTATACTCTTCTTCTTTTTTTTACTTTCAAAATACAATGAAATCATGTCTAATTAGTCTTTGGTTAAACTAATTCAAATTTTCAGAAACTGGTACAAAATCAAGATTTTCACTAAAAAAGATTTAAAATATAAATAAATAAATACAAACAAAAAAAAGTGATCGAGGGAATTCAGTAATTATCATCTACCATATATATAAACCTCATTAATAACTATGTCTCAATTGCAAAGTAAGTCAGAATCAGCTATATAAAACCCTTTTATACCCCCCTCTCTCCGACCCTCCTTCACCCTCCCGGAGGCAGGGACGGGGAGGGGTGGGGCGCGGGGGCGGGGGTTGAATAATGAAAAACAAGATGTTGGAGGGAAATTTTTGTTTTGTTTTAGGGTAGGGTTACCTTATCACTTCAATCCTCACTGGCTAAATGGATATTTTTTTGGAGTAGAAAAGAATGGAGAAAGAAACAAGAAACCTTATGGGATCGAAAGGGAGAATGTCACTGCCACAAGATTAAACTCCATGTGTTTTTGTGGTCCTTATATTATAAAAACTATATTATATACTAATTACCATATATACTTCTCTAAATTCTTATTTATCATACAATGACACTAGTTCCATTTGAGCACCTATTACATGACCTATCATAAAGTTTGGTGTGAGACTGCTCCACTCTTAATCAGAAGTTTTGAGTTTGAGTTGTGGATATGGAAAAAATTCTAATAGGAGTGCCAACTCTGAATGGACCTAGTAGTGCGCGATTCGAATTCAGTCGAGACTTCGAACAAACTACCTATTACATGTGCATTTGTTCAGTCGGTAGAGTTAGAATTTTTATTAAGAAAATTTAAAATATAAAAAAATAAATATACGAAAAAGTCATTAAAATTCAATATCTATTATAAATACAGACATAAAATGGAAATTGTGGCTCCTCCCCTTCATTGCATGAGTTTATAATGGAAATTGTTTTTCAAACATTTTGTGAAAATATATGCATGTCTGATGAACAACTTGTGTAGCTTAACAACAAAAAATCATCAATAATATTAATGGGGATTATTAAAATAAAATAGTTAGCAACGACCTATTTAGTGGTAGATTATATTAGCGATGAATTTCATAATTAATTTCAATTTTTGTATAGCTATATACACATGATTTGTGTGTTATAAATGAAAATTATTTTTCGCGTGAACTATCATCCATTATATGAAATAGCATAGGTGGATTCAATCTTTCAATATTATAGGTTCGAGTTCGAAATTCTACTACTAACTCATTTGATATATTTGAATTTGAAATCTATTATTTATATTTATTTATCACTTTACATGTACATCTAAAAGTAATACATCAAAGTCAATACTACTAAATTTGAATAAATCCATAAACTACCTTCTACATTCAATTGCTCGAAAATAATAACTTTTTTTATAATCTATCGCTAAATAGAATTAATCACGAATTTTGGTATATATATTTTTTTATTTCCTTGATAAAAGTATGTGGTTGTCTTCAACATTTAAATATTGATTGGCCAATAATGAAAAACCAAATTAATTCAGAATAAGAAAGGAATAGAAGAGTGAATAATAAATAATATATTTTACACGATTTTTCATAAATAAAAATCTAAAAAGGACCACAAAACCTACAAATTTTTTTGGAAACAACTTAGCATAATATACTCCACTATTTATGCTCTCTCTCCCAAAAATCGAGTACTTTATATAGCAATATAAAAATAAATAATAATAAATAAAGAAAATACCAAAAATTAATTATTGTCAACTATCCAACTTAACGTTACAAAAAAAAACTATATTATATATACTTAAATAAAGTATATTATTGTTAATATAATTAAATGATGGCCTTAATCTCAGCGCCAAGATTCTTTTTCTGAGTGGCGAACCTTCTAATTAAACTTTGTGCTATTAATCATTTTTTTATATGGAAAAGTTTCACGTTAATCAATACTCTCTCTCCCTAATTACTTGTCCACTTTTTCTTTTTTAGTTGTCTCTAATTACTTGTCCATTTTGACAAATCAAGAAAGGATAAAAAAAATTACTTATTATACCCTCAATTAATTACTTTGAAAAAAGTAAAACTTCTTTTTAATTCATCCACTTCATAATTAATAGAGGATAAAATGGTAAACTCACTATGTTAATTATTGCTTTCTTAATAAGTGTGTCAATTCTAAAGTGGACAAGTAATTAGAGACAGAGGGAGTAATAAATAAATATGAGTCTAACTCAATTTTAAAAATTATTTGAATCATATAAATTAAGTCGAGGATTTCATCCATCATGATATATCATATATTCGTCATCCCCCCGCCCCCTTTGCGCAAGTTCGAACACGGTCTAGTCGTAGGGTGTTCTGTTCGCATTTAGACGTTGTTTGATTTCAGTTCGTAATATCGAATGATTTGATTCTAATATCATGATAAATGGATTTTGAATCTGACTCAACCACAAAAATTAGTTCAAAGTGGAGGATCTGATTCCGACTCTAACTCTGTGACATTAAGGGCATAGTTCATTTTGAGAATTTTCTTTTAGCTAAACCGACTATTAAAATAAAATGAAAAGAATAAATAATTAATGCTTGAACTAAAAATATATATGATATATTGATTTCATTTTAATTTTATCCAAAATTATTTGTGGGGTTTCATAGAAGCATTTCTACATAAGCTATGCAGTATGTTTTTGTCTTATTTCAAGACAAGATATATCTATCTTTGTCTTTGCTTGTATTGTTATTCGAGAAAATT